TTGTTGGAAAAATTGTCAGGAATCTCCCCTCTTGTCAGGAAAAATGGTGAAACATGTTGAAATAGGCAGAAAAGATGACTGGCTGTCCTGTTTAGAGGAATGATCAGTTTTTGTAGGGGCCTGCATCTTTTTCTGTCTTTGAACTATTTTACAACACTGTGAGCTGTAGGAAATTGATAGTAATACAAATGATTCTTGTCCATAGAAATGAAAATGGATTTTATACTTTGGAATGCAATTGATTGTTGCCGTCAGGATATTTCCCAGTTCTGCATCTCTTAGTTAATTCATTTCACTTTCCTGATTGCCTGTTTATGTGTATTCTTTGAATTCTCCTTTGAACTGATGGCTAACTTCCAGATTGACTTGTTAGTTAATGACCTAAATAAAATCTTTGACATGTATTAATGTTATATTCGTGTTAGAAAATTTTTACCTTTTCTTTTTAATTGCTCTTTGACATCCAGAAAATTCCCATTTCCAAGGGATCAGTTTAGCTCAATGTTTTCTTGGTTCTGTGGCCAGAGTTATGGGATGTTATCTATAAATCTGAAAGTGTATGTGCTATAGTTCTCTTTATTCAGTACCTTAAATACCGTTCAGAATATATTGTATCTTTAGTGATTTTACTGCATCACACTATTTCTTAAATCTCTGCTATGGATTTAAGGGTTGACTTCAGAAATAGATGAAAAAAAATGGTTACTGGCCCAGATGAAATAGCCTATTAAATAATTAAAAAAATAAAACCCGTCTGGCAGGGGCTACAGTCTAAATTCCTGACCCAAGTGATGCCCTCTGCATGAAGTACATTTGCATTTCAGTGTTTTTAAATTATAAATAAACACATTATAGCTTCCTGCTGGAGTCCTAAGAATTTTGTAACTTAATAGCTGTGGCTCTTTAGATTTCAAGGGTATTCTAGAGGAGGCAGGTAGAATAAAGAACCATAGGAAAATTAATTGGCATATGACATCTACCACTGCGGCCAGAGAACACAACATTCTTTTTCCATGTACTTACTGCTGTTGTCATCTCATAACTGGCAGCCTGAACAACACAGAGGCAGTGGTGGCGGAGAGTTTTCTTGAGCTTACCTATTTTATTCAGAGGCCTTTCTTCATTTGAAATTCATGCCAGAATTCTCAGCATCATTATTTTGCAAGGATGATAACAAATTACCTGAATTTTACATACGGGGACCAGGATCTCAGTGGGATATGGAAATAGGGAAGTCTTCTTTTTTTTTTTTTTGCACTTACGCGGGCCTCTCACTGTTGTGGCCTCTCCTGTTGCGGAGCACAGGCTCCGGACGCGCAGGCTCAGCGGCCATGGCTCACGGGCCCAGCCGCTTCGCGGCATGTGGGATCTTCCCGGACCGGGACACGAACCCGTGTCCCTTGCATCGGCAGGCGGACTCTCAACCACTGCGCCACCAGGGAAGCCCAGGAAAGTCTTCTTAATGCAGATAACTGGGAACAAGAGGAACAAGAAAACCATCATGCAACTGCATGCCTGGCCTAGGCTCTTCTGCACTAGGAGATCGTGGTAGGCCGAATACTATCCCACCTCTCACCCCCCACCCCCCGCAAAAGATGCCTGTGTCGTAATCCCTGGAACCCGTGAGTATGACCAAAAAAAGGCTTTGAAGATGTGAAGAAGAATCTTGAGGTGGGGGGTTTTCTGGATGGCTCCTAAATACAATCACAAGGGGGAGGAGAAAGAAGGCCGTGTGACCACAGAGGCAGAGCATGGCAGCAGCCGCCAGAAACTGGAAGAGGCGTGGAGTGGATTCTCCCCAGAGCTCCTGGAGGGAGCGCAGCTTGGTTGACGTCTTGATTTTGGCCCAGTGATAAAGATTTTGAACTTTTTGCCTCCAGAACGGTGAAAGGATGAATTTCTGTTGTCTTAAGTGGCTACGTGTGTGGTAATTCGTTGCAGCATCCATAGAAAACTAATACAGAAAGAGAGGGGAATCAAATGGTTTCTGCTTACCTGTGTACTCTCGTATTCTGTTTGAATGTGAAACATCCTTATGATTTACTGTTAGATGTCTGTAACCATCAGGATTTTATATTCAAAACTTTGACCACGCCTTCTCTTTTAAACAGTAACCTCCTACTTTAAGCACAATGGCGTTGTATAAACTGAAGACACCGGTCAGTAAACACAAGGCTTGACTTCTGCTCTCAGCTATGCTGCTTACTACCTGGGTATCTCTGAGTAAATCGCTTATCCTTTCTGAGCATCATTTGAACAATGGGAATCATATTACCTGTTTTTCCTAATCCACATGAATTATTATGAGTATTTAATGATATAAATACATGTGGAAAATAATGCTCAACTATTAATTATGCTCCCTCAACCTATAGCAAAGTCATCATGAGCAATTTTGGCCGTAAATCACTGAACCCATGAAACATTTTTCTCCCTTAGATTAGATGCTACAAGTGGAATTTGGGGTTCCAATTTTTGAACACGTTCAAGATCTGGGTACATATTGACTGTTTCTCTCCAGAAAGCCTGCACACTTTATCCTCTCATTGGAAGCACACAAGTGCTCATTTTACTGCACTGTTACCTCAGGGAGTTTTAAAAAATATATTTTTTAAATGTCATGGCAATTTGATGAAAATCATTATTTGTATTTCTTTGGCAAGGTTCAACTTTTTTTTGTATTCTCCTTGGCCATTTGTATTGTTCTTTAATGAATTGCTTGTGTTCTTTGACCATTCTTCCAACAGTTATTTGTCCTTCTCCTTACCGATCTTTAGAAACCCAGTATTCTTTTTATTTCATATTTTTCATTTTTAAAATTGTGGTGAAATCTACACAACATCAAATTTAGCATCTTAATCATTTAAGTGTCCCGTTCAGTGGCACTAAGTACATTCATATTGTTGTACAGCCATCACCACCATCCACTTCCAGAACTCGGAAACCCAGCATTCTTAAGTTAGTTACCCTTTGCTGTGTGTTTCTTCACCAGTTTGTTTTGTTGTTTACCTTTTACTTTTGTTTATGATGACTTTTGGTGTACAGTGTTTAACATTTGTATGTTGTCAAATTTAGTGACCTTTGTTATGTTTTCCTCCCTCCCTCCCTCTCCTCTTTTCTTACTTCCCTTCCTCCCTTTTCCCCCTCCTTCCTCCCATCTTTCCCTCTGGAAAGCCTTTCCCATTTGGCAGCTTTTATTGATTTTTTTTTTTTTACATATGTAGGTTTGCCCTCAGTTGGCAGTAAAACATATTTGAAATCTAGACTCTTGTCAAATAACTTAATCTTAAATCGTCTGTTACCAAACTTTGTAAAAAAAAAAATTTGAGAGAAAAAAATACTCTTCAGAGATGATTGCCTGAAGTGCACACCGAATCTTAATTCTGGGGAGAGTCCTAATGCAGCATAAGGCCTTTGCTTCCAGCCCGGTAATTACACCTTCTCTAACTCTCAGTCCCTTCTCATTTACCATGAGTGTGTGCAGAAGTTGAAGCAGGGGAAACAGAGACTCAGGTTGTTTGCGCCTTATCCTGTTACCGCTAGCTCCTTCCTCTGTATCATCCTCTGTACCCACATTGCCCTTAAGAAGGATAATCATTCTACCACTAATAAGTGCTAACCCCGTGTAGCTTAACATGCCTAACATTTTACAGACATTATCTCGATTAACTGCCACAAGAGCCATACAAGATAGGAAATACTACTATTGTAATTTTACCAATGTTGCTTTGAGACGTAAAGTGGCTTGTCCAGTATAGCACATTGATTGTATGTGGAGGAATGAGATGTCAGTTCAAACTCAGACCTGATTCCAGAACCAAACTTTTTTTTTTTTTTTTTCGGTACGCGGGCCTCTCACTTTTGTGGCCTCTCCCGTTGCGGAGCAACAGGCTCCGGACGCTCAGGCTCAGCGGCCATGGCTCACGGGCCCAGCCGCTCCGCGGCATGTGGGATCTTCCCGGACCGGGGCACGAACCTGTGTCCCCTGCATCGGCAGGCGGACTCTCAACCACTGCGCCACCAGGGAAGCCCCAGAACCAGCCTTTTAACTGGTATTCTTTCCATGTATACACACACACACACATCACATACACACACACATATAACATATATACACACAAACTTCCCCACCTGGTTTCCTGATGCTTAGGTGGCAATATTTCCATTCACTCCTGTCATTGATACAGTAAAGGAGGCAAACAGAGTAGATAAGCGGACTAGCAACTTCTAAGATACTGAACTGAAATATTTTGGAGTAGATTTATAACTTCTCTCATTCTTGAAACGTCTAATGACATTTTTTCCTCGTTCTCTCAGCTCAAGCATCTCACAGGTGTAATGTGCTCTGAGCAGGGGAGGTCAAGTGAAGATAGAGGCCAGAGACAAGTGGGTTGGTCTTATTTGGCGATTGTAGTAAATGGTCTGTGTTACAGTCTGTGATTGAAGGCAGCTTGCTGTGGTGGGGGAGATTGAGCCTGGGAGAGCTGCTTTAAAAACTGGCAGTCTTTTCGTTAGTACTTGGATGATTAATCATTCTACTTTCTGTTAAATTTTAAACAGAGTGAGAAATTAGGTCAATGGGAACAGTTCTCCTATTTCTTTCTTTGAAAAATTTGGGACAGTGACAGCCTTCAGTTTCCTAGGGTTATTTTGCTCTTATATTCATATCTATCAATTATTTAGAGCTTAAGAAGCCTGCAAAAAATAGGGACTGTGTGCTGTTGCCTTTTGGGGTGGGTGAGAGTACAGTTCGCTGGTCACCCCATGAGCTCCTGACTGTCGTGGCCCTGGTCAGATCCTCAGCGCCTACTCAGTGCCTGGCATGATACATTTTTGATCAAAGTACTGCTTGGTGTGGATGGAGTGGGGGAAGAATAAGGATCAAGCAGAGAGAACAGTTTGGAACCAGGCTTCCAGGCAGGTTTGGGGATGATTGAGAAAGCACAGTTGTCCCATTAAAATTGGCTCTAACAAAGGCTTGTGTTTGTGATTATTTGCAGGAAGATTACCACTTTGAATATACAGAATGTGATAGCAGTGGCTCCAGATGGAGAGTTGCCATTCCGAATTCTGCAGTGGACTGCTCTGGCCTGCCTGACCCAGTGAGAGGCAAAGAATGCAGTACGTTTTGACTTTTTGACCACTTGTTTTCCTGATTAAACCATAAGCTCTTCATATGAGCCCGAGAAGTTCCTTGTAGTGCATATGTAAAAGATCTTTGAAAAAAAGAACATTGATCCAGCAGAGCAAAAGCATCCTTTCTCAACACTCAGTGCCCTTATGTCTGGTCTGTAACGAGCCACAGGCAATATTAAAGGGTGTTATTTTTATTTATTTGTTTAAAAAAATCTGGTGTACTGTCTTACTTGAAATTCTAAAGGGCAGAGTGGCAGAATTTCTATTTAATAGATTTCTTTTCTTCTTTACATTTTAAGAGACTTTTCAAACATTTTTGATACACGTAGTAACGTTTGGTACGCGTAATATTGTTAAACACGTTACATAAAATATAGCATCTTAATCATTTTTAAGTGTACAGTTCAGTGGCATTAAGTACAGTCACATTGCTGTGCTTTCATCACCAGCACACATACACACGCTTTCATCCGGCAATGGATTTCTTTTTTTTTCTTTTTCTTGCCATAGAAATATTATAATTTGACTTTATAGTGTAAAGTAGAGAGAGAGTAGAGAATTGATGACTGTCACATTCAACAGCTTTTAGCAGTTAAGCAAGTTTGAAGTGCAACATTTTGAATTAACAGAAATATGTCATGAAATTTATTTTCATTTATAAAGTCTACTTTTTAAAATCCTTGAATTTGGTGAGTCACAGGTTCCTGCAGTGAAGTCATCTTGGGGTGTCCTAGAGTTCAAAGCTGGAATAAGACAGAGAGATTATTTTGGTTTTCCTACAGCCTTCCAAATGGTATTCCTAAAAGCTGAGTTCTTTTGTTCCCAAATGAAAGAGCAGATAAGCAAATTAATTAAACGGGGAGCTAATTCCTTCCTCTTCATAGAGAAACTGTATCTCTGTTACTGGCTGGAGGAGTTTTAGCATAGTTGTGGGTTTACTGATAAAAGAGAGACAGGAAGACGGCAAGTCTTAGGAGGAAAATCAAGGAAGAAAGCCATTATTTCTTGGTGAATGACATTAAATGAATACAGAGAGAACCTAAGAACCCAGGTAACCAGAGAAAGACTTGGGTCTAGCAAGAATCTTAAGAGGATAGTGGGGTCAGTGGATATGAAGATGATCCAAGGCTGGGGTATATGTGACCACCTGTGCAGAAAGAGGACCAGCTCTCAGTGAGGGAGGATTGCAGTTAAAAGGGAAGCAGCCTGAGTATTGCCTGTGGAATTAGCTCATTGCAAAATTGCTTCTGTCACCCTCCTAGAAAATCCGTGTATCATTTATCTATATTTACCTTTTACTTGTGGGCTTATTCCTTGGTTCCTTGTAAACAGCCCTATTGAGGTGGAGTGTGTAACCATTTTGAATACTACTCTGTATCTAAGTGGTGTGCTGCTGTTGGCTGGCACTGGCTTTTGAGAACTCATTGTTCCTTTGAAATGGGCCATGGTGGAGTATTTACACCATGGGAATTGGCAAACACTACAAATCAGGTGCCTTTTGAGAGCCGGTTGTTTAACACTTACCAGGACACTAGTGATTAAATTTATCGGCCAAGGGTTTAAAAATCTGTTTCAGAACTGATGCTTCAATACAAATTATTTCTATTTGAATGTTGCCAGGGATGTTTTTGCTCATTATTTACTATGATCTTCCACAGATAATGTTATGAATTTGACATGCCAGCTTGAACTGCTCTAAGAACTTGGTCTAGTAAACTCACTATTAGTTGTTTATCACTTTAAACGATGAATAGTACTTACTTTAAAAATGATACCCGGAAATGATACTACTTATGTGATGGCTGGGGTATTTTTTGTCTTGGTAGTTTGTCTGAAATCTGAATTTACACGTATGTTTGTGTCATATACTTATATCAGCTCTGGAAGTTACTAGCCTGGCCTCTGATTGTGACTTTTTTTTGTATGGTAAAGGCAAGTTATTTTGAAACTCACTGCTGAAGGCAGTTATGGTAATAAGTGAATATTCCTTCAGTGGCTTAGATTTTCTACTGCTAGTAATAGCTACCATTTCTCATATACAGATTACATGCTAAACATCGTGCTTGGAGCTTTGCATCATTTTCTGTTGTATCCTCACAACAACCGTCTCAGATAGCTAGTCTTAGTATTTCCACTTTACTGATGAGAAAACTCAGACTTAAAGTGGTGAAATAAGTTACTGCAGGTCGGGTCATATAGCCAGGACATGGCAGATCTGGGGTTCAAGTACAGACATGTTTGATTCCAGAGCCTGTCTCTTACCCACTGAGTTAGATTGCCACTTGAAGATGACAGTCTGGAGGAGCTTCCAGGACCCCGTTGGGGTGGGGATGGTGTGGCCCAGCAGTTGGGCCACGTAAAAGAAAAGAAAAACACGGAACGCGGCAGCTTCAAGTAAGTGAAAAATATTTAGGGCGATGGCTGTGTGAGACATAATTTCCCCAGATCCTAGTGTCTCTCGGTGAAGCAAAACCCAGAATGTGTCCTCGGTGGAAATTCCTGTAGAGTCTTCAAAATGTAATTAGCTAGATCTTTCCCCCTTCCTCAGAAAGAAGCAGTAGAGGAGGCCTTTCCTTAGGAAAGGGATTATGAGAATGTTTATGTAGCACCTGTGCATTTTTAAAAATAGAATTGATGGGCAAGCTATATTATATCTTTATTTCTTTAAAAATCATGTAAAATCTGGCTACAAGGCTCTAAGTGAAGTTAATGAGAAGTCAGGTATCAGTTTTTGCTGTGGCGGATCCCTGGACTGTATGTGAGCTTGAGGCTTGCTGCCCTCAGGAAGTGGGATGGAGAGACCTCTGGTTATTAACTGACACAGCGTCTCATTGTCCTGCTGTCCCCCTGCTCTGGAAACCTCAGTGTCTTAGGCAGTGTTGCCGTGGGCCACTGAAATGACTTCATCTCGCTCCTTCTCTCTGCTGGCTCCAGGCTTAGCTCCAGGGAACTTTGCTGCTTCTTCCAAGCCGGGGTGCTGAGTCTCGTGTCCGTGGGCATCACTCAGGCACAGCTTGCAGGTAGCATGTCATTCCTGAACACAGCACTCATTGCCTCCTCCCAGAACGAGGGGATATAACCCCTGTTCTGACTCCATCCCTTCTCCACTGCTGCGTCACTTCCCTCTTGCATGAGAGTTTAAAAAATCTTCCCTTGACTCTCTGGGTGTCCTCTTGACTTTCTTAGATTGTCAAAAACAATAGTCATTTTGGAATGGTTGCCTGAATGGGGTACCTTCTCTCTCTCCTTCTTCTCTCTCTTGTTTCTTCTCTCACCAACCACACAGGGGAAAAGGGACTTGTTGTTTCAAACCAAACCTTAGAAATAAAAGCCTGGCTACTAGGAGTGAGGAGAGAATCCCTTTACCTATTGCCTTACATATTTTCAGAGAAGTCTAGAGCACCGAAGGGAAATAAACATAAGTTATCTCTTCCTTTGGGGGGTGTGTATCTTCTATCGCTTACTCCTTCCCGTATTTCTCGGCCCATGACTTCAACCTTAACACATCATTTTCTAACTGGGGATGACTATTTAAGATATTTGTAATCCCATTTGGTATGTTAGCATCAAGTTATAGTATTGTGGGCATTGTTTAATCTTGTACTTCAGTATTTATATAAACTAATATTTGGTTCTTAGATTAAGAAATGCTGTATACAGATTAGAAGAAAAACCCTTGACTACAATTGTTTTCCTTTTTCCATTGTGTCTCTCTGATCTATTGTCATAACCTGCATTTCATGGGCCTTAAGGAGTAAGCAGAGGTGACAGTTTGAGTCAACATCTTTTGGTTCTAGTTTGGAGTTGAAAGAGAGGAAGGATTCTCATGGAAAGAGAGTTGGCTTTAGCTTCCTGGGTGGGATGTTTAAAAATCCAGTTTTGGGGGGATCATAGCTCTTTGAAATGTAGGCTCTTCCGCAGGATTCAATACCTAGTCTATTTCAGTTGTGTAGCGTTGTTATTGGTATGGCAGCCAGTGCATCTGGGCAAATTGAGTACGTTGATATTGAATGGTGATTGCGTATCATGCTGGAAGTCTGTTCTGTGGAATACTCATCCCAAGAAGTATTTCATGTAAACAAAAAAAGCGTGTTGAGGTTTTCTGTCGTGAAATACCAATACTTTTAAAAAATGGTGAATGCTCTATCCCCTTGATGGAGGGATGCAGTCCACATTTTCATAATAAAGTCCCTGAGAAACATGGTAATTATGTATAGAACATTTACTGTGTGTTAACTGCATTCTGTTTTACCCAGAGTTTCCCAAGTATATTTGATTATAGAACTCTTATCCAATGTGTAGTTGCACCCTTTTGCTAATTTCTGCATATAACGTTTTTGGAGGAACACAGATTTAAATACACATGGCAGGCTAATTTAGTAAATTTTTATACGTTGTTACTTGTGCTATGATTTAACTAATTTCATACAGCTTCTTTGCTCTGTAAGTCTCAGTGGGAGCATTACCGCATGGGTGTCCAGTCCCAGGCCTCCCACAGTTCGTGGTCAGGTGTGATATACACCTCAGATGAAACCCCAGATCTGCAACAGACTTGTATGTCTTGAGCAAAATATTTAGTCCACGGGTATTTATTGAGTTTTAATTCGTTCACTAAACATTTGTTGAGTATTTCCTAAATTCTTGATGATAGGGATCCAGAAATAAATGAACAAGAGATTCCTGTTTTTTCCAGGACTTTTTATTCTAGTAAGGGAGCCCGTGGGTAATAAATTATTTCGAGTATAGGGGCAAAGTGCAAGATAGATACAAATACCTAAGGTGATCTTGCCGGGGAGGGAGGAGTCAAGAGGACCTCACAGTGAAGCAGGTGTGAGTTTGAAATGCAGACTGAATCACCTTGGAAAGTTATCTGACCCCTGGCAGGTTGATGTGAAGAACTGCGCCCTGACTGCGAGTTGAGACAGGGATTAAATGCCATACTTTACGGGCCGTTACGTGTTAATTTTCTGAGGATCTCTGAGGTG